ATGGTCATGGAGGACGGGTAGCATAATTCCTAGACTCTCCCTTTAGGACAAAGGCAGATGTGGATCTTCAGGATTGAGCTGTAAAGCTTAATGTCACGATAGTGGCCAGCCCTGTCTCCCATGTATGTTTACTTAGAGGTAAGTCCTTTACTGAGCATTAGTCCCTAGCAAATCTGAACAGGATTTCAGTCCAATTCTGATGTTGCTATTCAGTATCTGGTCCATGCAAGCAAGAATCCAATGTGACATCTCAGTAGACATGCACAGGATCAGGCTGGAAATAACTAACTAAAGGAGACTATGGTATTACTGACACAATTCTAAAATGCCCTCATTTAATTTTGCCCTTTGTTTACTCAATTCCTAGATTTTTTTTTGCTTAAGAAATCAATTGCCTTAATTACTAAATCATTTCTTTTGATCAGTCTACATGCCTTTAAGTTACAAAACCATCAGTCAAACAGTAGTCAGATGAGGACATGGCAATGTGTGGAGCAGACCAAGAGCATTTACCTTTTCTCCATCCTTGCACATTTGATAGCAGATTAACAGTTCAAGCATTAAAAGCAAGCTGGGCTATGCCCCCTGGTGGCCATTTTAGCTGGAGAATTCAATGGAAAATAAAAAATCCTAACATAAAACACAGTACCAGGTGGGAGAGCACTTTAAGACCTTTTATTTTCCATATAAAATAGTATAACAACACCCTGCGCACAGTTTTGCTAAATTTTACTAGATGAGTAAAAAACAAAAACAGAAAACAATCAGAACTGGCATATGTAACATCTGATGCATGGCTATCATAGCATTATCACCCTGTAATACAAGCATACACCACATACACCAAGAATAAAAGGCTGCAGGCTAAAGAAGAAGGGAAACTGTTCGTACTTACTACATTTTTTGGTGTAATATGACATCTGTATGTGGGATAAGCATCACAGTACCTTTAGGGAATTTTAGAACTTGTTAAGATAAATACAGGAAGAGTGTGTTTTCAAACCACCAAAGACAGTAATATGATCAAACTCTGGCAGCATTTGGGTTTGAAATATTGTGTGAAGTAAAGAAGAAGATGGAAAGTTATAAAGGTTTGCTGTTTCTTAGATAATTGCATTTAAAATGGATGAAGATCCATGAAGAACTTTGGTTTACAGTTCATTCCAAAGTCAGTTCTGATAAAACCCACAGATGTAATTCTGTGGTAGCTTTCCTGGAAGCAAGGCTCACTGAGCTGAATGGGATTTACTTCTAAGTAGACATGTAGAGGACTGCAGTATTAGATGCTTTTTCCCAAGTATTTATCATCATTAATGTATCTTGTTAAACCGTAAAGTTTATTATTTCACATTATCTGAAGCACAAGCAATAGAAAGTCCTCAAGCAATGTCATAGTGTCAGTTCCCTAAAGTAGAGATGCTGTGTAATTTATTATTGAAGAATTATCCTGGGTTTTTAACTGTATTAGTTTAAAATTCTACAAAGTTATTAGATGCTGGAAGCACGACTTGAATGTTTGATAAGTCTACCTTCATACAAAATTTTCTCTAACCATAACTGCCTAGCCTCTGCACCTATCCTTCTGCAATCTTACAATTTCTTCCCTCTATGATGTATGCATTCTCATAGAAGCACATCCTGTTTTATAAACCTCCAAATTGTAAAGGCTACTCTTATTGCAAAGTTCTCTGTACCTATTTCTCTGAATTCAACTTGGCAGGCTTGACCTCCTCAGAAAGAGCAATTATCCCTATCCTAGCCAGTGTAATCCACTCCTGCTGGCCAGTACAGTGTCCAACAAGTTCATCAAATGCTAACAGAAGACCAAAAACCAGTTATTTTTAAAAACCCATGTTAAGCAATGGGAGTCACAAAACCTCAGATTTCTAAATCTTGACTCCAATTTGGTTCCTACATGAAAGCTAGTGGCCTCTGAACTGGTTCAAACTAAACTGGGGCATTTTCTGAAGCAACAAACCAGAAGTCAAATGAAATATTGTGATCGTTAGACACCTCTACACCAAGCACAAAAAACACCAGGGCGATTTCTTTGTGTTTAAATACCACCAGTATTGAAGAACCCTTCAGGCTGGAGCTTTAGTGTTGAGTGCTTGCCAAATATTTGATGAAACATTGACTTTTTCAGTAGGTGGCTATTCTCTCACTACTTTTTCATCTGTTTCTTCATCATTAACTACACTACCTGTTTTACCTGAATTGTGACACAGAAGAAGGAGCCTCAGATTTATTCATGGCGTCTAAATGTTGTTGAAGAATTCGGTGTGGATTCCTAATGTTCTGGCTCTGTGCCTTCAGTCTCTTATTCAAGTAACATTGCAATAAATCCGAGACTTTGATTAAATAAGGGGGTGAAATTATGGAGAAAAGAAGGGGCAGACTCTTGATCAGTGGTCAAAATACCTATCTGAATGTGAAGATATATATATATATATTCAAAGATCTGGCCAATAGAGTGATGGGTGGAGGAGATGAACAATGCAAAAGACATTTCTGTCATGAGCTCTGAGAGTTTCTGTTGCATATCAGTGTAGTTCTTGCCTCCAGGTAATAGGGGAAATTGTGTAAGCTCTGTCAAGCTTTTATCTGATCCCAGATAAATCCTTAAGTATTTGTTCACACACATCCATATGCAGAAGCCATTACTGGCTAGTTCCTGCTGTTTGGACATCAAGGTATTGTTTAAATGAATGTCTTCTTAATTACCATTTCCTACCATTGAACTTGCTTGGGTTTTTTAAACATAATGACCTTTTCAGCCTGCTTTTTGTGGCTCAAGAGGTGATGTGAGAATACCACAAGTTTCCAAGGTATTGGAACTGCAAAAAATGAACATACAAATTCTGCTTTTGCAATATTTTTCTTTGGGAATGCTTAGTTTCCTGTATTATGATCGATGAGCAACAGAAGGTGGGGAACAATAAACCCTGTCAGCAGATAACATAATTATAGGTCAGATTCATTAAGGGGCATACTGGGAGCTATAGGCTTTTGTTCCGTCTAATCTTGTATAGAATTGCACCGTAAGTCAACTAAAATAGTGCTATGTTTTAGTGCCCCGATGACATATAAGGTTTATAATAACACCAAAGGGTCTTACCACTTCATACAAGGGAGGTCCTATCAATTATGCCTTCAACTAACTCCCACAAAAATCATAGCCTGATTCTTCCAGTCAGATGAAAAAGGGTCTTCTAATTGCTGGACTTTGGAATGTAGAGTAATAATATTTTTACATTTTTTTTCTATAGGAACAAAGACTAACCATGTTTAAACTGAAAATGCAGAATCTTGGAAGCTTATTCAGAGTGTGGTGGATGTTTTAGGTTCTATGTTTGAAAGCTTTAAATAGAGGTTGATCAATTTTCTAATATTTTAGTGTAACCCCTTAAATAACCTGTTTTATATCTCTAGGAGGTCTTGTATGCCTCTGATGTTATTAATGGCTTTTGCCAGAGAGAAGAAAGCATAATAAACCAGAAGAAAATTTCTCTTTCGACTGTGATCAACGTTCATTCCAGAAACATTTTTCTCTGTTACTGAGCAGAGACCTGAGACAAGGGGCTGTCATCCGGTGTGCAATTGCTCATCCATCATGTGAGTTAAGATCTATTCACTCTCAGTATTTTGACTCCTCATCATTCATATGAAAAGGTCCCCATTTAGATAAATGAACTACAGAATTATTATTGCATTAAAGTTGTCCTTACAGATAAATTAAAAAATGTTATTACCATCTTTTTCAGTCTTGCAGTGTTGCATGCATACTTCGTGAAACCACATAATTTAATCAGGGCCAGCTAGTGAGTGATAAGCGCAGAAGTACAGAGAACCTGAACACACAGAGCACAATGCTGAAATCTACTCTGAAGAGTAATGAGGCTACATTTGCCTTTCTGTCTTGCTCTGTAGATTGCTTATCTGGTAGAAATGGGGAACAGTGGAGGATATGGCATCTTCTCCCATTTGTAGCTGATAGGTTACATTCCAAGCACTTGGTGGCACAGATAATGGAATGCACAACCATTTTCATCTCTGTACTTCAATGAGGAAATAATGAAAAAGTAGTGTCTCTTTCTGTAAAATCTGTTACTTCTGTTCCAAAACTCAACCAAGCAAACCGCAACATTTGGAATGTCAATCTAGGACAACTAATTTGTATTATAACATTATTGTTCCACTAATGATTTCTTGCTAACTTCTACCTGTTTCATGTTATCACAGGATGAATGCTATCTGGAAGTCCTGATCCTCTTCTGTTAAGTGTCCTTGCCTTTTTCCAATTCCAGCTGCAATGGTACTGGATTTTTTCTTTTTCTTTTCCTTTTCATTGGCATTTCTATACTTTCTGTTGATCATGTCATGTTAAGGTTCCCATTAAAAACATTTAACTGGTTTTAGACCAGGGCTAATTAGCCTCACAATATACCAGGGCTAATTAGCTTTTCATCATCATGGCAAAGTGATTGCACCAACAGAGGAATCCATCCTTTTTCATCAGCCTTTGACTCAATTCCATCCTAGAAGTATCACCGTCTGACTGGAGCCCTAAAGTATATCAGGATCTGAGTATAGTAAATATACTAGGAGGAGGTGCACTAGCCTCCAGGCACGAGCCCCATGGCCACCATCTTTCTGCATGACTTTTGGAAGGCAAGAGCCTTCTGTCTCCATAGAAGCCATGTGATTGCAAACACTGAAAAAATCAGTTTTCAGAATTACACAGGACAAACTCCATGGTTTGAGAAGGCTTTTCCTTCAGAAAGTTGTCCTCCTTTGTAGAGAGCAACAGAAATGGTGATAGAGGGTGGCAGACCTAATGCACTCACCCCCTCAAATCTTTACTACTCTTGGATTTTGAGTGCCTTTATAGGGTTCCAGATAAGTACATACACATGTGCCCCAACTTTTCTGAGCAGTGAGAAAAGTTGGCAGTTACCCAGGTTTGATTTGTTTTGGAAGGAGGGCACTGGAAGCTTATGGCATTTTGTAATCTTTGAGTTTATTTAGAAATATAAAGATCAAGCAGGAAACACAGAGCTTAAAACACATCAACAGCCAATTCCACTGTCCTATATTAGATCACTAGAGAAAGGCAGGCATTACCCCAGTTTTGTAGCAGCCAAACTTAAAAGCAGCCAAACCCAGGTTACCCCAGTCCATAGGTCTCTCTCGGTCTGATCTTATGGACAGGTCATGAATGTCCACAAGTTGTACTGTTAACCTCAGTTTGAACTTAGTGTTACATATTAGTGAGGCTCATATTATCAGTGATAAGGTACTGCAAAAAAAAAAAAAAAATCACAAACCTTAAGAAACAGCAGGTATCCAACAGCCCCAATGTAGCATAATTTACAGTACAATCCAATGCAGGTTTATTCAGAAATCCTACATGGGCTTAATCCAAGGTAAGTGAGTAGAGGATTGCAGCCTTAAAATGTTTAATGCAGGAATGAAAGGTACTGAACAAAGAACTGATCTTTATTTCCTTATTTTGGTGCTAGTTGGTCTTATACTGGCAAAACACTGGAACGGTAAGACATTTGGAATCAAAAGGTGTGGTATGTTGCTTTGGTAGAGGTATGATTCCAGCAAATCTACCTATTTAAATGAGAAACACAGTCAGCCACCTTCATTTCAGTTTGCTAGTGCTTTATTTCATTTACAAATTTGAACGACACAGGAAGAGAATCACTTACCCCCCAAGTAAATCTATAAAAAGGTATATAAACTAAAATTAAACAAAACAAAGGAAAATAGGTCAGTATCACAAAACTATGAACTTATCAGGCTTCTTGAGCAATCACTGAAAAGGTGCAATCTATGTATGGAAAAGGAGGAAAAAAGAAAGAGCATTATTTTTTCCTTATTTTGGAAATAGACATTAAATGCTTTAAATATCATGTTCCAAGCAAGGATATTATGAACTTCACCAGTATCACTGGTTCTAGTAAGTCTCTTCTTGCTGTAGAATTGTTCATGAAGGTCTTAAGTGTGGATCTGGGACATAGCCATCCTCCACCCAATTCCTTTTTGACAAAAGGCCAACATGAGTAATTTGCAATAGCCACAAAATTGGAGTCCTGTGCTCAGCTCATGATCCTTTGTTGCACAGTGAACTACAAAAGTGCAACAAAAACAAAGAACTCATGTGTCCTACAAGTTTATGTTCTGTGAAGGAGATTTGTCTATCAAATATCTCAACTCTGTGTCTGCTATGGTTCTGGACACACTAATTTATTGTACCACTTCTTACATTGGCCACAGTTGGGTGGATGTCATGCACAGAATCATAGCATTAGAATACATCTTCGAATTCATCTAATCTAACACCCTCTGTGAATGCAGAAGATCTACAGTGTGGTTCTTCTTCTCCACTCCATTTCCACACACTTATCTCCAACCCATCTAAAACTGAATCTTAGATCACTCAAATAGAAGTTGCTTCTGTGTAGGGCTAGATGGCAATCTACCCTCTTCAGTCACCATTCCACTGAACATCTCTAGGTTTTACTGGGGGCATCTCCCCAGAGGTTCCCCCATCATCATCATCACCATCATCACCACCACTACCACCACCACCAGCATCCCAATATCACTTCTGCAGATATGTCTCTCTTGTGCATGGATGGCATTGCTTGGGCTAAATGAGCTGAGACCATTGTCAGTATGTGTATTAAGATGTGATGTATCTGCTATAGCCACTAAAGGAAAACTATAGATTTTTGTGCCTGTTTTGTTTCTAGGTATCATTTCTGTTATATATGTGGGTGTCCCTACAAACATCAAAGAAACACTGCTTTAGTTGCAACTCCCATTTAATTTTGCACACAAAAACAAAAACTTAACCTCAAATGTTTTTCAATGAGTCCTGCAAGACAGAATGGACTTCCAGAATTTCAGAGTCTGGCCTATGTAATAGAGATATGGGTGATGGCTGAAAAAAGATATGAGATACCATGGCCATCTGTTACATCTTACCAAGTGGGAAGGAGAACATTATCATACATCAACTGCCAAAGCATGGGGAAATGGTAGTCTGTATTGACTGTCTGTTTACTGCTGCTCTCAAAATGTCATTATTCTCTTAGTACAATGCAGTTATAATGTAACACCTTGCTGTGCTGTGGAATCATGAACACTGTTGCAGAAGAGATTAGGTTCTTTTTTCTTTTTTTAAACAGAAACCTGAGGCCTGCAACATCTTATGGCATGTCACATTAGTGTCAACAAAGACAAAATGTTCAACCTGGCAGATTTCAAAGGTCTTGGAATCTATTCAGCTTTGTCACAGCATAGATTGCATACTAGTTAAACATGTACGTGGGTGTTTTTCTTTTCTAAGTTGTATGCAAAATGTATTAGAAACATTCAATTCACATTATATTTTGGGTTTCATTTGCATATTTGTGACATTTTTTCTGATCCACTTTAAAGATTGCAAGTCAGACCCTAGAAATAAAAGAATATAATTTTCTAGAAGACGTACAAAATCTCTACCTTTACTTGAACGTTGACTACATCGTTTCATTTTCACTTTTCAGCTGTTACAGATTATTGTGAGAAGAACACAAAAACTCAGATATGGTCTTTTTCAGGACCCTTTTCTATGTAGTGAAAGCTGTTCGGTCCAATGAAGCTAATTACCACGGAAGTGGGTACTGAAGTACAGTCTTAAAAGCACTTCACAAGACTGATCACTGCTGATCAAAACAGGCTCTAGGTTTGACACTAGGCTCAAATCAAGCACGCTCCTGCTAATGTAGCCTTCATTTAAAAATAAGTATTGTCTACCTTAATATGAAAATAAATGGTACTTGATTTTTTAAAAAGACATTTCTCACAAAACTGCACTGCTGACCAATATTTATAGTATTTACAAGCATCGCATAAAAGAAATTTCATTTTCACAGACAATTAAAGTGGAATGTAGAGAATCAAGAGGGTGCATTTTGTGGTTATTAATACAGCCAGGAAACAGAATTGCTTTAATGCATAAACTACAGATTCTGCCATAGCAATTATTTTGAAATTTGTATCACCTCTGTGAAAACACATGCTATATAGGCAGACTTTGTCCTTTTAGGACATTTGTGTAACTACATTTGAAGGAACACTTCTGCTCCCATATAAATTTATTTTGCATTCAAAGAGCCAGTTTACCATCTGAATATGCGATATGAGCCAGTGTTCTATGCCAGCTAGTAACCTTATTGGGACTGCCATCTTCCTGCATGTTTCTTGTTCAGTATAAAATATGTTTTTCTTTTGTGGGCCTGACAATTTCTCCATTTTTCCAAGTGGAGTTATAAATTGAAGTTGATCCAATTCTGGGTCCTTTCCAGAGTGAGAGTTTATAGTGCAATAAATGTGTAGTACTTACTATGCTTTGTGGCAGCTGTTCTCTTACCAGCTTATCTCATTCTTCCAGGTGAAGCTCCAATATTTTGCCACTGGAAAAATGAGACCATTGCCTTATTAACAAAGCTCACAGTGTTGGATCTAAACTGGTGTGAGTTCAAAGACGCTCACATAAAGGAACTTCCCAGTGCTTCCTGCCAGTTGTGTTCCTCTGTGCTCCCTGAATAATGCCCTCAGGAAATGATGTGCACTAGGTTCCCTACTTTCGCACATTCAAGCTATATGCTGTTCTTGCAAAACATTCTTCATTGACCAAAACATTTTCCAGAAGGAACCTCTGAGCATGCACAGAGTGATTCATAGACTCTACTATTCTGGAAGGTACCATGAAGGCCATCGGATCCAGGCCCCTGCTGTTGCAGGACATCAAGGTACACCATCCCACTCAGATGGCTCTCAAGTTTCTTTTTGAATGTCTCTAGTGTGGGAGAGCCCACCACCTCTTTAGGCGGCTGGTTCCACTGCTGTATTGCTCTGACAGTGAGGGAGCTTTTCCCGATGTCCAGCCTGAATCTGGGTTGTCGCAGCTTGACTTGATTTGTTGAATCCAGTCTAGTACCTGCGTCTAGTAAATTCCCTTATGATTATCTTTGGGCCCCATACTTTTGGCAGGAGCCTTTCGCAAATGAGCACTCTCCTTTCTGCATGACAGGAGCTGCCTCTCCTCTGCCAACCTCTTGAGTCAAGAAGCATACCCTCATCGGTCTCTGAGAGTCTCCCCTGTTCCAAGCCCTCTCCCAATAACTGTGCAACTTGTTTTTTCTCAGAGGCTGCCTGCACACCAGGCCTTGAGATAAATGGCTCAGCTCAGTGTCTGAAACTGGCTCACATTCCAAGGGCTCCTAGTGCTCCTTCCGAGTCCAAATCAGGCCTTGGGAATGTAGACCAAGAGCAACTGCCGCTACAGGAAAGACCTGGAATGTGGAGCAGGGTTGGCCAGCATAGTCAATAGTGAAGGATGCTGGGAGCAAAATATCTGGAGGCCAGCCCACATATTTCCCATCCCTGCTCTAGTTTTACCTTACTCTTTCTCTTCCTTGCAACTTTGGTGTTATGGGAAAATGCAATGGCAAAACTAGCACAGGTGCTTACAGCTTTACCTAGTTAGGTGAAAAACTGTGTATTTATTTGTTGACTGTGACTCTTTGATGAGCAAAAGATAATTACTAGAAGAAAAGCAAGTTAAGTTCCACAGTCCTGCTACCTGATTATATTATAAGAGCTGAAGTGTGAAATAAAGAGAAAGAAACTGGAGAGGATGTGTGGCTAATGGTTATAGAACCAATTTTGTAACTAATATCGGGGTTTCCACCTCATAAAATCTAATCGAAACAATGGGGAATGTCTCATTAGCAGCACCATGAATGCTTTTGGAGCTTGCAGTCCAAGAGAGTGATGAGTAATTAGATACAGCCAAGAGTAAACTTTTTAGTCTTCCTGTCTTTTATGTGGAAGCAATTTGCTACTCTCTTTAATTTGTTATGGAATATAATTAGAGACTGTTTTAGAGTATGGAAAACAAAAGTGGTCTCCTTGGAGTGCTGTCAGCACTTCAGAATAAGACACTTATGTCCAAGCTTATTTATGTTCCCCTATATGTGCTATAAAGTCCCAAAATTTCCTGACTTAGCAAAGCATCACACTGTGGCTGAGCAAAATGCACCTTGTGTCAGCTATTTATACTCATTTACTTTGATAAAATGCTTCAGTGCTATATCATTATACTGTCCACCATCTCTGAGATACTGCAGGTGAAATAATTAACAGCATGAAAATGTTCACTTGCAAACTAAACTTATTATAGCTTAAATTCTTAAACATGAAGGTGGTACAAGTATGAATGTTCCATTGCTCTTCCACTGGGTGAACTGTTGGGGTGAAGAGTGGGAGTTCATTCCTAGCTAATTGTTTTAAGTTTCTTGTCAAATACTAATTTCTCTGTGCCTATTGATACTGCCTTCCTTTTTGCCCCGACTAATCACTTTCTGCCATGGATGCCACCTGGAAAGAAAATAAAGTGGGACAAATCTAAGAGCTTGCAGCTGCATGTCTGTTTGCCTGTTGGCTTCCCTGCTACTTCAAATCACATACTTTGTTGTCATAATATTCTAATTCTGTTCATACTTCTTTTCCTGTCTTCCATGTGCACCTCAATTAAACCAAGCTAGACTGGTATTAAATGTATTAGTTCATGTGCTCCTTTTTAATGCGTATAGCTGCACAGAAGGGGGGCCAGAATTAGGGCAGGTAAGACGATAGTTTAATCTTTTCTACTCACCATGACCCAACAAAAATTAGCTTCCTCCAACTCTAATACTATGTACATTAGGAGGATATTTACCTTGCATCATGCTATTTACATCACTTTTTCAGATTAGAATTAAAAGGGGTGTGTATTTAGAATTCCCTTCTCATTCGGAGGTTTAAGTGACATCTTGTAGAATGAAGGATGCTTTGCAGCATATGACCAATGTGATGGTAGGTGTATAGAGTTCATTTCCACATTTTTTCTGGATAGACCTAGTAAATGATCTGCAAGCATTTCTAACCCCAACCATTTCTTTCTAGAGTCTTCATTAAGATAATAGGCTGGTTTAACAAGATCCCAGATGTTATGGGCACAAATTGTCTCCCTTCTATAGGGAGAGATCAATTGTTGATACCGGGCTCTTTGTTAATTAAACAAACATATGCTTCTCAGTTTAGTCAGTCACTGGTGTTTCCTCTGTCAGGAAATCCTTAATTCATTCCAGAGACTTCTACAGGACAGAGTTTTACAATGTGCTAGCTGGCTCCCGTGCAGATCCAACATTTCTGGCTGGAGTGTCCTCTATTCCAATGCAGCATAATCGATAAAAGTCCTTGCCTTCTGAAACAAGCCTCAGAAAGCAAGAGTTATAAGATAGGCAGGACGAGTGTACTGTTGACTTTTGAAAAAATGACAATGGGGAAAAAGGGAAGAAAACAAGGGAACAGGGTACTGAGAATACGCTCTTATAAACAGTAGCAGTCAGGGTCTTGGATCTTAGGGTGTTTTGGATTCAGTTTTAAAATGGGACTGATATATTTAATTGGCAGTAATTCCCAATTCATGTGTTGGGATTTCAGGAGCTACTGAAAAGCTTGTAGTGTAGTTGTGGGAACTAAAGTGTGGCAGTGGGGGCAAACGACTTTAACTGGAGTCTTTCATAAACACCAGATATGCAACTAAGATATGGGAACAACTAGTGACACTTGGGGAACAATTCTACAGAAAAAGTCCTGCAACTCCAAGGATTGTCCAGCTAGTACAGGGAATCCTGGCTAGCTGTTTAGGGAATCCTGGGTGCTGTAGGACTTTTTTCCCATCATGGAATTGTACCCTTAAGGGTGTCATAGGATAACCTCAGACCTCCTTATTGTAATTTTGTCACTTACATTATTACATGGTTATTTATCATAGAAACAATACATTGCATTTTTCATCTTGCAGATATTAAGTTTCTACCCTTAAAAGCAGGGAGGCATTGTTGTTAAGAGTCCCCCCCCACAAACACTTTTGCTAGAATTCAGCAAATTCTATGTAGAATTCTATGACTTTATATAGTATTTTCAGAGGGCTGGAGGTTGCGGCATAGCAAGAAGTGAAGAAATCCATTTTTACCAGCGCAATTGATCCAATTAAATCAGAATTCAATCAAAGATGTTTTGGCCTATAGCTGCCAACTGCCCTAGCTAGCATATCCAAAGATGAGGGATGATGGAAACTGTAGCTAAAAAGATCTGGAGGGCCACAATTTAGAACCATCTCTTATATATAAAAGGGTAGTATTGAATAGCTGTTCGATTGCATCAAAAGATCAGTACTGACTCTGAAATAAAGGTTATTGATCTTGTAACATGATTAGTTATCCCCTGCAATTGAAGGATTTCCGTAAGGGTTTTGTGACATAGTTTCCTTTCTAAGGGTAGTTCCAAAGCATCTATTCTTTTTGCTCCAAAAGCTGGACTGGATGGACGGTCTTTAGCGGAAATGCTTAGAACTCCACAAATGGCTCAATACTCTAGATTCTTTTATCTTTCTTTCTTTCTTCTTTTTGGGTGGGGAGGGGAGATCGAACTCTTATAAAGATCCACCAGTAAGAAAAGTAATTTCGTGTCCTTCGTGATACCGACCAGGCCTGGTTGTGACAGATGAACTAAACATCTATCACGATTTTAGCTCTTCAGCCCACAAGTGGAGCTTCTCATTATCCAGTCCTCCTACACAAAATTTACAGCATATACTCCCAACATTGACACTTTGTCCATTGACAAAGGGCAAGAGTTCTAACCTTTTCAATGGGAAAGCATTCCCCCATGGGAGTCCCAACTTGCAGAATATAAGGGGCCTGAATGAATTACAGTCCTCTATCACATTACTTATTATGTATACTTGCTTTGGATTTGCCAGTAATATAGTACAGTGGTACCTTGGCTCATGAACTTAATCCGTTCCAGGACTCTGTTTGTGACTGAAGTTAAAATTCCCCATAAGGTTTAAAAAAAAAATGCAAAGCCAAGTGACAAACAACAAAGATCGCAGTCATCTCCCCCCCCCCCACCCTGAGCACAGCCATCTCCCTGCCCCACCCCCAGCACGACCAGGATCACGCCTTTCATCCCTGCACACGTCCGTCATCCTGGCACACTGGAGGAGAGACGGGCGCAATCACAGGCATGCTGGGGGAGGGGAGGAGGAGACGGGCATGTTTGAGGGGGAGACAGGTGCGGAGATGGCCAAGATCACAGTTGCGCTCCTGCAGGAAGGACGGGCGCAACCTCAGCCATATCCCCTCCATCTCCAGCACGATTGCAGCCATCTCCCCACTCGGGGTGGGGAGATGGCCGCGATCGCAGTTGCCACCCAATGCGGAGTTCACAACCTGAGTCAAAATTTTTATGAAATTTTTGTTTGTGACTCAATTTAGTCATGAACTGAGGTGTTCATGAGCCAAGGTACCACTGTACTATGTGGCCTATAGTGAGTGGGATCATTTTGGGGTGAAAAGAGGCAAAATGTTAGCAAGAAATCCCTTTAGTTCTTTGGTGGCAAAATCTTTGGTCAGTTATGACCTGTATTCCAAGTACATGTGGTATAATTCCTACCCTGGTATTACCACTTAAATAATTATTAGGTAGCAGCAGGTGTTGTTAAAGATCCATGCCAAAGATCCTGGACAGCCACTACCATTAAGAGTATGCAATATTCCCATGAACTGGAATTTGGTTAGAAATCATAAGTTCAACTCCACATCAAGCATTTTGGCAAAAAGCAAGTTATAAATTTAAATGTACATTTGCTAATTCAGGATAGCTGCTAATAAGCAGCCATTTTCCATTAAGTGGCAATGCTGATTTATATACACAGTTCATTTTCATCGCAATAAAAAGGGTATCTTGCATTCATCACCAGTAATCCATATTTTTAAATTGTGGAGTTAAGCTCTCTGTTCATAGAATTGATATGAAACAGATTTAGGCCCACTGCCACTATGCCTCCAGCTAGCATTTAATACACTAACTCAGCTGGTAAAAGCAAAAACATGCATTATTAACTCCACCCCCTTCCTGAAATGTTAATGTTATATCAACCTCTCATTTTGAAAAATGCATGATTTTATTATAGCTTTCCATTGCTACTAATATGCTTATATTGTTATTGCAAAGATGATAACTTATATTACATAGCTGGACACATTCAAATACCTACCCTTCAATCTTCTGCATCAAAGTAAATTATTTCCCCTGCCTTGTCCATATCTGTGCATGTAGGTTACTGCTGACTTGCTCGATGTCATATCTGAAACGGGGCAAGTCAGCATAGTAAATGACTTGTTGATCTGTCCTGATCCAGAAACAAGGATTTCCACTAGTTCCCAAAGCTGTTTCAAGAACTGTTTGTTCTTGCACAAGCTATCTCTTCTGGAATTGCAAAAGACCTAGCAGAGGTGCAGTGGAAGTACAAATTACTACCCTTTATCTTTGGTCATTTTATTTTACATAAGCCTCAATTTCACTGATCTGAGATCCTTCCCTTAAAAATGATATACGTGTATATGTCAGAGAAAAAGAGAGAATGTACCCAGAAAGGTCTGAAATCTGTACTAACTGCTGAAAAGCAGTTCCCAAAGTTTTACCTTCATTTTGGTGTAATCAAAATTTAAAAGGAACCAGGGAGCCTGTGCAAAACTGCCTTCACTTTAAATAGATAAAAGTCAATTTTCCACAGTGAAATTATTGGAATATAAATCTGTGAATGGGATGTTCCTTTCATGACTTTCAAAGTGATGCACCTGAAACTATAACCCAGGTTTTACCTTTTTATTCTGCACTCTCAATCACTCATGCAGATTAAAATTAGCACCTAAAAATAGTGGAGAAACCCACCCTGGTTTTATAACTACAAAGTGGTCAACTGTTTTGGTTGAGTAATACTTAGCCAGCACTAAATAATGAATACATAGTATAACATATGTATTTACTTGATTTATTTATTAGATTTGTATTTTGTCTTTTTTCTTCCAAGAACTCAAGGCAACTTACATAATTCTCCTCCACCTGCTCTTAACCTTATCCCCACAACAGTAACCCTGTGAGGTAGGTTGAGCTAGGAGTACTGATGAACACAGAAAAACTTACAATTACTATATTATACCTGAGAAAGAAAGAGGCAGGAAAAAAGCTATTTCATTTATTACATTTCTATACTGAAAATAGCCACAGCTGTCTGAATGGCTTACAAACATTAAAGCCTAAAATAACGTATGAACGCTACATTTATGTAAACATATAAACAAACAACACAGGGAAAAACACACAGATATAAAAACAATTTAGGGCAATTAAGTCAAAAAGCACGACTTGTTTAAAAACCGCATCTTCTGTTGCCAAATTCCGACATTGTCCACCAAAATAAAAACTTGCCCTTGCTGCAAAATGAATACAAGTAATTTTAATCGGCCAATGAAACTCCATTTTATTATCTAAAGCAGGGGACTGGAATACCTGCAATTCAATTAGCAGGAAAGGGGGAAAACATAATAAAAGAATGTCTTCTCACTACCAATCGTTAGCACATGGCTTGCCTTACACGGCTGAATTCTTCTTTTCCCGGCTGTTGTAAAGGAGCGAGAGGATGCGATTCTGTGCGGGACAAGAGAGAGAAATCCGCTGAACTGCGCAGGAACTTTGCCGCCGACTGAAGAAAGAGCTCGACCTAAATACACGCTTGCACTTTATTTCTTTAGCAACAGAATCAGTACCGCCCCCGTGAACTGAAGCTCAGCACGAACAACACAGCCCCCGTGCCCGAAAGCTAAAATAAAGATTAAACTAGCAATGGGACTCGGATAAAAGAGGGAAAGAGAAGAGGAAGGCGCCTCCCTTTCAGTACCGGGCCGCCCAGTGCCTCACCTTTCCCGCATTCCTACCATTCTCTCAGCACCATAGAGTTTTCAGGCGGCCCCACACTGCGTACTCACTCGCAACTACGACGACACCCATTCACTTCCGGTTACCGCAAAGGGTGACGGGAATTGACACAGCCTCAGACGTCCGTAATATTCCCTCCCAACCCCTTAAAAGTACGAACCCTCCAAAATGTCAAATTGCCTTGTCTCCTAGAATGAGCCCACCGTAAGGGAGTCCGATCCCAGCCCAGGATGAGGCCCACCACCCCTCCCTGTCCAATAACTTCGAACTGCACGGCCGCCAGCCCGTCTTTCGGCCACCTGCTCCCAGACATTCGCGCTTCGCCGCCGAATCTCGCGATATTTCCTTAGCCGGGAGGTGTCACACTGGAAGAGGCGAGAAGGCTGGGTGCAAGGGTTAGGCTCCCAATGATTTTTGAGCCGTATTTCCGATTCCTGATCGTATTTCTAAGAGTATCCCCTGAATGCGGGGCAAGTGTAGTTGGAATAAGTCTAAAGATACCACGGACACGGAACAGTTCTTCTGCCATAAAAAGCAGAAGAAGGAAAGCGGCTCTTTTTCCTGGCGTGATTCTTCTATTCCGGGGCTGCGGAGACTTCTGTGCCTTTAAAGCTGCCTGCGTGATTTGGAAAGAATAATTACATGCTGTAGGACTTTAAACGCACAGAAACCGCAAGCCATTATGAAGCTTTCAAGGTTTCTACTTTCGGGCTGGTGGTCCCAAGAAGAGTCAGTTTGTAACTCGTGCTTTAAAACCGTAAAGCCAAGCACTTAGCAAAGCTGCGTGTTATTACCTTGTGACTTCAACCTGTGTGTGTTCACACGCGCGCGCACACACCTCGACAACTGAAGATCTCTCTCTCTTTGATGAAATGGGTTGTAGTTCAAGAAAGCTTAGGCCATTATTATTTATTTTATTTTACAGGTTAAGTCTTTAAGAAAGATACGTCTTCCTCTTTGCTTTTGCTAGTTGAGTAACGCGCTACCCCCCCAGAATTTCAATCGCTCTTGTTAAAGTTCTGCCTGCCCTTCCGAAGGCACAGGAGCTTTGCCAGGAGAAGATACGGGGTTGCGGGGGTAGGCAACCTGATGCTTTCTAGACATTTTGCATCACAATTCTGCATGACCATTGGCCGTGCCGTTTGGTATTTATGGGGGTCGGAGTCCAAAACATCTGGAGGGCGCTAGACTGCCTGCCTCTGGTGAATCCTGTCGTGAGGATGTCGATCTATAATCCCAAGTTCCTTCTATCCTGAGTTACTGCAGCGAAAGAGAGTGTCTAACATTGCTTTATTAAATATGTTTGTTTATAAATTATTGCATTTGTACACCACTTGATATAGCAAACATGTCTTAGCGTTTTGCACGCATAGGCTGCAAATTTACCTTACCCTAGGAATACGCCTTTACGAACTCGATGGGGCTTACTTCTGGATAGACATATAAAGGCTTGCAGCGTTTGCTCGACTCTGACTGATGACACGGATTCCCACATCCTTCCATCGCTCCAGCCCCGCATATGGAGAATTCTCGGCGCTTCACTTGCGCATCGGAAATGAAGCATGTGTGGATCTTCTGGATACATTGCCCAAAACAGAAAACCTCTTTGGAAGGCGAAGCCGGCTAGCTTCACCCCGCCTTTCGCTTCAGCCTGTTGGGCCTTTGGCTGACACAGGCGGGATCCCGGAAGCGCTTTACGGCCCTGTCTAGCGCGCTGGCCCGCCCCTTCCCTCCACTCCCCCTCCTACGCGCTCTGCCGGTACCACCCGGAGACGCCCCCCTCGCCTCACGTAGACGGCTAGAGGGGGGCCTGCCCCACCCCCGCGAAGCGAGGGGGGTGGTCGCCTCTGTTCCCCCTTGCCTGGGGGCCGAGTGGAAGGGAAGCGCGAGATGGTCTTACTGGAACCGGCCCCCCCGCGAGCGGTGAGAGGGGAAGGGCCCGGGCTGTGCGAGTGAAGGGACGGAGAGGGCTGTTGGCAAAGCATGACAGGCGCGGGCGGGGGTTGCCTGTGCACCCGAATACGTGGGGCAGAGGTGGCCAGGAGCCGTTAAAGCGACAGGCTGGGGGGAGGTTGGGGGTAGAGCGTGTGGGGGCGGCAATCACGTTCTTGTAGTCTGAGGGGGCATTTATCCCCCCCCCCCCCCCCGTTATTCAGGGCAGGCAACAGAGACATGCACGAAAATTCTGCTTGGGTAGTATCAACGCTGGCAAAATGTCAGTAAGGTTATCCTGATGCACACGTACATATATGCATGATAGGTTAAAAAAAAAAATACATTCTCCTGCATTTATATGTGCTGTAGATTGAGCGAGGGTGCTGTTCTTGAAGTCACAGTGGCTTTTTAAAGGAGGTAAGGTGTGAAGGATTCAGTTGTGAGTGAACCACTCCTTGAGGCCTGAAGTGGAGGGTCAGTATGTGAGGGTCAGGTGTTGTGGTACCCTGAACCTGTTTTGCTTCAATTTCTCTATTCCTGAGCATTTCTTGATTTTCTTAGGTTCTGAATTACTGTAGTGGAGGCAAGGCAAAAGATTAAAAAGGGTGTGATTAATGTGAGTCTTTTTGTCTACACCCATATGTAAAACTTTTTGTCTGTTTTGGAGGCTATTTTCAGGTTGCTTAGAGATGCCACACCTGTGTTGGTGTTTGTATCACAGGGTGTAGGTAGTGCCCACAATTATGGTCTTGTTTGTGTTGTAAGTAATTGCATTTGTAACAGTTGCTTCTTCCTTTGGCATATCGTCTCAGCATGGTGACTGCAGTATGATGCTGCTGCTTTGGTTTTGGCAGCTTCAGAAATGGAAAATCCTGAGTGCTAGCAAGACCTTGGCAATGTACTGTAACTTCAGTTTGCTGAATTTTGGTTCACTTTTATTGTTGTTCATGTGTATCTAGAACATATCTTTTCAAAAGAGATCATCAAGGTAGGAGCCTATGTAGATTATTAAAAACACAAGTATTTGTCTTAGTGCTGTATTTGCACTAAGATGGAGCCAATGTTCCTTGTGTTAGAGTTTTTTCTTTCATAATTAAAGACAGCAGGATAAGCTTGCTGCCGGGAGAACTGATATTTCCCCACAAATCAACATGAAATGGGGGCGGGCATTGTGTATTAGTATATGTCTCTTAATTTTATTTTTCTTCTTGGTAAAGAACCTTATAAATAACCTGCCCATGCATATCAACAGTTGTTATTCTAGTCATTTGTGACAGGAAATGGATAATCAACACATATAATGCTTCTATGCCTGGTTGCCTAGTATAAATACTTACACTCCACAAGTGAATCATTATTGTGTTTAAAGGACTTTTTCATACAATGATATAGTGGAATATCTTTGAGCCTGTAAAGAAGTAAAATAAAAAATAAAAGCAAGTTTACAAAAATGACAAAATAAGACAAACACATGGACTGAAGTTATATTACTTGTTGCTTGTAATTTGACAGCCTTGTAGCATAGTGCCACTTTCACAGCCATGTTCCACGTTGTACTCGCAGCACTATCTGAGGGTCAGAGCTCAGTGACCCTCATTTTCCCAGTGATAATATATTAAATGCAGTTATCACTGATTACCATTTTTGCGTGGAAAGCCTAACTAAATTGACATAACAGAATAGTAAAAGCATTATGTGAAAGGGAGGGACCATTAGTCCTCACAATACATACATCATAAAAAAGAAAGTAACAGTTATAGTAACAGGTACCTTTAAAAAGAGCAATGCAATTTCAGGCGGTCTGTCCATGGTCATTAGCAACAATAGCTAAACATGAATCCTTCATGTTCAAAAGCAGTTTGCTTCATATTTGTTTTATAGGGATGAAAAACATAGCAAAGACTACCACTGTCTCAGACTGCTTGTGCTATTCCTTGGGGCCTCATCCTGCCTGCTTTCAGTGACTCAGCATGGGACCATAGCTAGACTAGCATTTAACCATTGCTGTAGCAGATTATGAAAATATCTAATTTTGTGTACATATATTTTTTCTATTAGTTTAAACTGCAAAGAGAGATGAGGAAAACAGTAGTTTAGGCTTTTTGCATGTATGCATAATGTATCACTGATTATATGATACCAAATTAATGAATCACAATTTAGTTCTTTAGTGCAGTTAGGCAACACAGATCAGCATTGATGATCATCTTTGAAAAGTAGCTCAGGTTGGAGTTAACACCTATATTTTGATGGGTCTCTGATGCCATCTGTGCATTTTCAGTTGAGAGAATTGAAGTAGAAGCTCAGCATCCTCCTGGGACATACAAAAGATGACAATATAAGGATGAAGGATTTATTAAACTGAATAATCTTTTAAACAAAAAAATCTACACAAACCATTATATTTTTTCTGTGTTTTATGTGATCTTTGTTTCTGTTTTCAGCGGAATGTCTGGCTAGTAGAGAAGCCTAACACTCCCTCTAGCCAATTGTTCACAAGGATGCTTTTTCTAGGTTACTTTCTAATTTTCTACTATGGCTCAGTTAAATGTTGTGCCTACAAGTCTTACATATTCCCTTGCATTAGAAGGATTATAATACTGCTCAAACTATTCTTAAATTGTTGTGCTTTGTTCTTGAGACCTTTCCTTCTAATACTTAGCTTAGTGATGAGAAACACACCATGTGGGACTTCTGTACTTCTTTAAGAACTCGGAGGTGAATATTGGAGGATTTGAATGATAAGGATAAGATCTCATACCAGCTTCTGCCTCTACTGACAGATATGAGCAAGGGCAGTCAGCATAAGTTGAGCTTACCTAGATGTTCCAGTGCCCTGGGTCATATAGCATACTTGGGGTCTGCACAAATTAGTCACTACTTACGGTTCCAAACATATGGGCCCAGATTGGACATAAACGGAAGTTAAGCCTCAGAGTGGACCTTGGCTTATTAATGCTTGTGCATGCTGCACAATTTTCCATACTACAAGCAGGAACAGCTTAAACAAAACACAGATCACCTGCCCATAGGTTGTTTTGTTCTGTGTGAGCTGAGAATTTATATGTTTTCCTCCAAGTTAGCCAGTGTCCTAAGCCATGACCAAACTAAGCCTGAATAAAACCAAAATTTAGCTTAAAAATCTAACCCTCCCTCTTCAACAGAGGATTTGCTTGTCAAGTTGCAAAATCACTTCAGTTACGGTTCCCCAAACTGGCTTGCAGCCAATTCTTAACTGTGGGTTACATGGGCTACTTGTGGCCCTCTAAACCTTTTGGCTTTCAGCTATCATCACGTCTGTCCAATGTAGGCAATGCCGAACCATGGTGATAGTTGTAGGCCAAAATATCAGGAGAGCTACAAGATGCTCATCCCAGGTTAAATATTTAAAAATAGCTATTAAATATTGTTAAAAATGGTTTTATCTGTGTATAAGTTTTACTTGTCAAGCCTGTATCTGCTCTCAGTCTTAATAATGAGATTGAAATGAGACATGTTTGCCCTGTTGTTTCTCTAAGGCCTTAGATTTCTATTCTCCCCAGTTAAAAGATGCAGAATTTAGATGAACCCAGAGTGATATGTCATCCCAAAATTTAATTTGCACACAGAATGGTTGTCTGTGCAAGTGTACCCAGGTTTGAAAAATTGATTAATAATGCCAGAACTAATGTCCAAATAGATAGATGTAAGGGTACACCCAGCCTACCTAGTTATTGTTATGTTTGTTTCTCAGCATCTAACCTTTTACTTGTGTTAGGTTAACAGAAAACAATAAAATGTTGAGAAATTGAATTGCACTAGTGTATTCTACAAATGCTTTATTCTTCAATTCTAGGCAGGTTCTCATACCATGGGTTATTTAACCCATGATTTTCCATGGACAAGTGAGTGTGAGTAAGCATGCTGTTCCTGTATACTAATTTCTGTTTTTAATCAACATCTTACAACAATCCAGGTGATAGGCAACAAAGCATGAGTTATATATATATGCGAACTGGGTCGATATACTACATAAATAATACATATTTAGGGCAGGGGTCCTCAAACTTTTTCATCAGGGGACCAGTTGAAAGGTGCCGGTGGTGCGCACGAGCCGGAAAGGTGGTGCCGGCAGTGTGTGTGGGCCGGAGTGGGGGGCGCACTGAGGTGGGAGCAGGGCACGCAGCGAGGCGAGGCGAGGCGAAGCATGGGCAAGTGCGTGTGGGGAGGGAAGGGGAGGCGCAGGTGGGGGCAGGCTCGCGCCATGAGGCGGGCGCATGAGGCAGCGGCTTGCTCACTTGGAGATCGTTTTCTCCAAGCGGGCAAACCGCTGCCTCCCTGCATGTGGGGCGAGGTGGGCGGCGGCAGGGGCACACGTGGACACACACACGCGGCGGGTCCAAATGGGTATGGCAGGCCAGATAAATGGGCATGGCGGGCCGGATCCATCCCCCAGGCTGTAGTTTGAGGACCCATCGTTTAGGGTCATGAACCAAACTCTTAACTTGAACTCTGTGGGTATGTTATTGGCTCTGTGCATGTTTCCAGTTCTCATGACACATTGAACTGATATAGGTTATGTTAAGATTGATATTGGTGGCCTAATATCTTCACAGGGGACCATGTTTCTTGACTATGATTTTGAGAAACACTAATTATGTTGATAGATTGATTTAGTAACAATTTCAAAATAAAAAGAGTATATAAATGAAATTAATGTGTGTCTGCTACAATGTGTCCTTCATGAAAATCATACTATATTGAATTAATATAGTTAAAATATGAAAAAAATATTTGCAGGACAAGTATGTTACATATTTGCAAAATGCTCTTCTGTGTGGAAGAAGACTTCAAATCTTATTTGACCTAAAACTGACTTGGGAAACTGGAATCTGTGCCACAGCCTATTTATTTAAATGCTGTTTACTCTGCTCTTCTGAAAATGATCCCAGGATCGCTCTTTGTGATCCTTGCCGCATACTGAGCGTACAGTTTTGTGGTGTGCTACT